TCCCCTTCTCTCTATCCTTCTCTCTCACTCACTCTCCTCTTTCTCTCTCCCCTTCTCTCTTTTTCTCACTCTCTCTCCTTCTCTCTCTCTTCCCTTCTCTTTCTCTCCCCCTCTCTCTCCCCTCACTTCTTCTCTTCCTCTCTCCTCTCTCCCCTTCTCTCTCTTTCTCCCCTTCTCTCTCTCTCTCCAATATAGTTCTCCTTCCACCTCTTATCTACCTGCTGCTACCTGCGTGAAGTCTTCATTGAATTGGCAGCTGGTTGGCAAACTTTCCTAGTACGCCTCACCTTTAGGCCCGTAGGTAAAAGGCAGGATATGCGCAAAGGTGCAGAATTACTAGAAGAGGGTATTTGTAGCTCGGGCTTGAACCGTGAGGCCATAGGGGTCAAAGAATGGCGGAGTGGGAAGGGGCCTTGGAGGTCTTCTAGTCCAACCCCCCTGCTCAAGCAGGAGGCCCTAGACCCTTTCAGAAAAGGGAGTCCAGTCCCTTCTTAAAAAGAAAAAAAACTCCCAGGCTTTCTAAACAGGAAAGCGGGGAGGTGAGTGGGTGGGTGGGCAGCCCCTCTGTTTCACAAAGCTTTGCTGAGCCTCGCGGACAGAGACATCTGGGAAATTGGATTTTTCCTTCTTTTTCCCCTTCTTTTTTTTTTTCCCCGTTCCCTCTTGAGCCTGGAGGACAGCGGCCCGTTTATCGTTGAAATAACACGTTAATCTTCATTTTGATCCTCCCCACCACAGTAATAAGGATTTGTTTGGGGGGGAAAAAAAACTCTTTATCTGGAGCATCTGTTTGGAAGGATTTGAAAGAGGAGCTCTGGAGACGCCTCCGCCTCTCCGTTTGATGCTCCCATCAGCTGGAAAGAAAGGAAGGAAGGAAGGGGGGAGGGGGAGAAAAAAAAAAAGAACCGCTGGCGCTGCCAAAATGGCAGCCTCGCCTTCACCCCACCCCCCACGCCTCCTGTCCTTGTGGGGCATCTGGTCATCCCTTGCGAAGAGTGCGTGACAACGGGTTGGACTAGAAGACCTCTGGGGTCCCTTCCAAGCTCTATTCTGATTCATTCATTGAAATGGTCTAGGGTCTCCTCCTTGAACAGGGGGTTGGACTAGAAGACCTCCCGGGTCCCTCCCAACTCTGTTATCCTTCAATCCCAGATCCATCCTCAGTGGAACAGCCTGCCACCGGAAGTTGTGGGTGCCTCCAACACTGGAGGTTTTTTAAGAAGAGACTGGACAGCCAAGTTGTCTGGAATGATAGGTTTCCTGCCTGGAGCAGGGAGTTGGACTAGAAGACCTCCAAGGTCCCCCTCCTCAAACTCCGTTATTCTAAGCCCCTTCCAGCCTGACGATTCCCGTGACTATGGAGTTCACCCGGAGCCATGTGCCCTGGTCCCCCAGCAGCCTTTCATCTTCTGCAGCTGCAGCCTGCAGGGGTTGCCAGCGCTGACCCCCAGGGAATATATTATATATATATACAGATAGATAGATGGATGGATGGATGGATGGATGGATGGATGGATGGATAGATGATAGATAGATAGATAGATAGATAGATAGATAGATAGATAGATAGATAGATAAGATAGATAG